ATTTTAGTCCTAAAAATAAAAAAAAATGTAGTCCCTATTATGTTTTGGTGCCAAATTTTAGTCCTAAAAACAAAAAAAAAAATGTAGTCCCTTAGCCTCAATTTCTGTGAATTAACGGTCCATTTTTGTTAATAACATCAAAGTAGTTGTGTAAAATAATTTAAAACATCAAAAAGATGTAATCAAATTTCAAAGGAACAAATTATTGACCTGATCATAAAAATCATGATACATTCATTGCATATTAATTATTAAATATTAAATAATAAAATTATATATTTATATTACATATCCTGTACACAACAATCCATCCACTCGTCCGTGAGTGGGTCCGGCTCATCTTCTAGTGCCTTGAGCGTTTCCCTGACGAAGCCTCCTGGGTCGTCGTACATCCGGCAGTTAGGGAACTGCTTGAAGAACTCGTTCGAGGGGTGGTTTGCGTAAATGACAATTTTGTCCATGGCCAGTGCCTCGGCTGTGGTTGTGCAAACCACATCTGTTGTGCTCGGGTTCAAGAACACTTTAATAATTAATAAATATGCAATGATTGTATCATTATTTTTATGATCAGGTCAATAATTTGTTCCTTTAAAATTTGATTACCTCTTTGCGATGTTTTAAATTATTTTACACAATAACTTTGATGTTATTAACAAAAATGGACCGTTAATTCACATAAATTGAGGTTAAGAGACATTTTTTTATTTTAAGGACTAAAATTAGGCACCAAAACATAATAGGGACTACATTTTTTTTATTTTTAGGACTAAAATTGGGCACCAAAACATAAAAAGGGACTACATTTTTTGTTTTAAGGAATAAAATTTGACACCAAAACATAATAGGGACTATATTTTTTTGTTTTAAACTAAAATTGGGCACTAAAACTAATAGGGACTACATTTTTTGTTTTAAGGACTAAAATTGGGCACCAAAACATAATAAGGACTACATTTTTTTTGTTTTAAGGACTAAAATTGGGCACCAAAAAATAATAGGGACTCAGTCTGGATACGCCCTAAACATAGAGGACCAAAAGTAGACTTTTTCCTAATATATTTAAGTATCCGTGTAGGACACGGATATATCGTACTAGTTATTTACTGTATCTCTATTAAATTAAAATGTTATAAAAGTGAAAGCATTTCATATGAAATGTTATACATGAGATGTGCATATATGTTTTTCATTTCTCCCACACAACACGGGAGCACAAAAATGATTTTGTTTTATTTAATAGAGGTAAGAAGTCATAACATGAAATCATAAATGAAAACAGAGGTAAGAAGATCTCTTTATATGTTGACATTATAATTTAATAGTGTCTATTTTTGATTTTTTTTTTTATGCCCATACATGTAATCAAACATTGGACCAAAATTGAAATAAGTCATAATAGTAATACAACATGCAAAAAGGAAAAAGAAAATAATAATAATAATAGAAATAAACAAAATAAATGAAACAATTTAGTATTTGCCATTTACATTATTTACAAAGTTTGAACACACTAATCAAGTTGCATAATAAGAAATTAAATAAAAAAATTATCTACATTTTTTCCATCTAAGTTCTTTAACTGGTCTATAATTATAAAATAAATAACTAAACTGGTTATTTTTATCCATAAATCAGTCTTTTCACACACACACATTTATATATCTGTAAGCACAACATCTCAAATTAAGAATGTATAATTTATTAGCAGGCTAATGTATTGTTAAAGTAAAATTTTGATAAAATATGTTAAGGTACGAAATTAGTCGGTGCATTGCACGGGAATCTCACTAATTTTATTGAGAAAATTATATTTGAATATTCTTTTTATTCATTTTTCCCCTACCCAATATATAAAGATTATAAACAGTCCCCAAAAAATTAATAAAAACTTTAAACAATGGTAGGGGCATAAAAGACATTTTCATTTATGCAGCGGAAGGGTCAAATTGGAAATTTGGGACGTTGCGTAATGTGCATATGTCGTACACCACGAAACGACATCGTATTAGGCAAGAAAAAAGCTGCCATTTTTCTGTATAAAGAGGCAGTCTTTGTAGTTGGAAAGAAATGGAGAAGAAACCGCCATTAATGAGCACTTGAGCTTGAGCTTAAACCTCATTATCTCTAGAACCCACCTATCTTCAGAAGTCGTTAAGTGATTTTGGGCTGTTTTCAGAGTTTAACCCTTTTTCACAAATGGCAGCAAATTTAGCAGAGCGGCGAAGATACTCTTCGGAGGCGGTTTACTGTTAGAAGAAGCGCAAGAACAATCTCTTTCGCCCCGTTTCTTACTTTTTTTATCATAATTTTCTTGTGGGTTTCTTTGCTTCAGCTGAAATCTACGAAAGTGGTTCATATACAGCACGAAGAAGCTGCACATGGAGTCCTTAATGTCATTTGATATACGATAAGCAACTACTGTTGTTATCTGCAAAGTGTTTCTTTGGGCTTCCTCTTTATATTTATTGTTATTGGAGTTCTATCGTTAGTTGTGTGTTGTACGGATTTCTGTTAAAACTATTTAGCAGTCGATGGAAGTTACTGTGGTGAATTTGGGAATTTGTTTGAAGAGTGGTTTTAGTTTGAAGATCTCACAATTGTGTTGGCTGGTCTTTCTTGCAATTTAGTGAGTTAATTGAGGGAAGTTTTTTTATTTTAGCTTGATTGGTGAATTAGGGTTCCTGTTGTAGTGTGAGGATAGAAGATGGGGATAGAGGACAGGACATTGCTGCCGACCGTGGGACCTCCCATAAAGAGGAAATTGAGAAGGAAACAAGCTGGAAGAGGATCTTACAGAGGGAGCTAGGATTTGGATTTTCACTGCAGGGGTTGAATTGTAGTATCTTTTGTGGGGTGTTTTGTTTTTAATAAATTAGATTGGGGTGTTGGTGTTAGGACTTTGCTCATTGGGGTAAAAAGAAAGATGGGGAGTCGATTGCAGCAAGCGCTGAGGAGCTTTTGTTTCAACTGTGGTTGGAAATATGCAGTTTTCTGGAAGCTCAGGCATCGAACGAGGATGTGAGTCTCTTTACTTTTTAAAAATTTATCATTGAAGATTTAGTTAGCCATACCGAATATATGTTGAAAATGTTTGTGGATGTACATAGCTAATTGTATGGGAATTTCATGTAATTTCTAATGATACAAATAACAAAAGATTATTTAGGTTTGAACTTTGAACATATTCTGAAGTAGCAAAATCAGGGGTGCCTACTGCCTAGTGGATATTTCAAGAGCATAAAAGAAAATATTGGAGGCTTTATGCCTTCCTGAATTTCCTTTTGAAGCTTTTGGATTTGAAATTACAAAATCATATAGCGTTTTGTTAGAAACTGCGCTCGAAATAAATATAATGTCTGTTTTTGACATAGTGGTCGATCAAAGAATCTGGTTTGGTAGTATTATGAAAATGGGTTTTATGTTTACAATTTTCTTGCAGGATGATAACTTGGGAGGATGCTTATTATGATGGGAACCAATCTGAAAAGAAGTGTTTCAGTCCTGCAGCAGGAAGCTCAATTGAGGGTCCTTACTCACACGATCTTCTCGGATTAGTTGTGGCAAAGATGTCTTATGAAGTATATTCACTTGGGGAAGGGTATGTCACTTACCACCATAGAGCATATCCATTTCTTTTACTCTTCAGTGTTCCCTATATTCACTTGTCAGGTTTATTTCATTTCTCTAGATCTATTTTTGAAATTAAATAAGTGAGTTAATGCTTGTTGGGGACAACATAAAGATATTTTTTACACATTTATGTGATTATAAGTATGATATTTTTTGTTTTTCATGTCTTTTATAGAATCTTTCTGACATTTGGTCCGACAGGGTTGTTGGAAAGGTAGCAGTTTCTGGAAAGCATTCATGGATATTTTCAGATGAGCTCGATTCTTTCTCCTCGTCTGAGGTATATTACTGCACTGTTTCCATTTCTGAAATTATAGAGCAATTGTTTTCCACTCCCGTTTGCAGCGCGTATTTCCCTAGAGTCCAAGAATGAAAGGTTTTTAAGTTGACTTGGATTATGTTAAATCAGACATGCCTTTTCAAAGTCACTTATTGATTAACAAAAAATTTCTTTTTGGTTGATTGAAACGGACATACGTTGATGGTTTTTCTGTTTTTGTGTGAGTTTTTTCAGTTGTTAATAACCAGAACATTAAGATGTCCCATGTGAAATGCTTGTTTGAATTTCTAGATATGTTGTTAGTCGAGGATGAGTGGAACTGGGTATAACCTTTAAAGACCTATTGTTTACTGCAATGTGTTAGTAAACTTATCCATTTTTCTAATGTAATAATTTCAGTACTCTGATGGGTGGCAAATTCAGTTTCAAGCTGGCATTCAGGTGAATACCATTTTTATTTGTTTTTATCTCTTCTTGTTGACTAAGGCTTTTTACATTGGTGAATAATAAAATTTAACCAATTAACACAAGAATAAGAACAAATAGATTTGAGATATGTTTTATAGTGTCTATTCCTTTTCTCATCTCCCCTCTGATTTTGAAGTTTTAGTAAAAGTTGTTTGATTGGATGGTAGTCATATCGCTCAATAGTCTTCATAGTAAAAGTTTTAAGTTGAACTCATTTATCTGATGCATGACATGATAAATACACACTCCTGATCCTGTGAATAAGACGAAGGAGCTCGCTTTAATCGAGCTCATAAATGTAATTTGAACTTCAATATTGTTAAGATAGTGGGGGCAGGCTTCACTCTTCTGGTGTCCCGGCTTTTATAGTAAGAACCAAACTTCAAAGTTTTTGGCATAAATTCTCATCATCTGCTCTACGTCGATTGAGTTATTGTGCGCGCTTGTTCTTGATCGAATAAAACTTTCTCAGATAAATTAGCAACTATTAAGCGTCTGAGTGATTAACAAAGTAAGCCTGAGGTATCAATTATCATACTGTATTGCTTTTCTTAACAGTCAGGTTCCTCTGCTAAAAAAGGGCTTCCAGAACCTGTACCTCGATTCTCGGATTGTTTATCACAGAATATTTTTAATGGGAGATTTTCCTATCTTGCAGACCATTGTAGTTGTGGATGTCATTCCACATGGAGTCGTACAACTAGGCTCTTTGCACAAAGTATGTTTTTCCAAAAGCTGTGATACAGTCCGCAATTTTTTGTGTTCATTTAACTTTACAGACTTACATTTATTCCTTCAAATCTTTGAGTGGATCAGATGTCTGAGGATGTGAAGCTTGTAGACCACATCAGAAATGTTATTTCTGGCATACAAGATTCTTTACCCGATTGTATTCCCAGTTCAATAAAAAATAACACCGAAAGTTCTTGTCTGGTGAACATCTCTCTCTCTCTCTCTCTCTGTGCAAAAATATTTTCTCCCCAGTTCTTATACTTCGCATTCTTTATCAGTCAGATACATGCACGAAAATCCCAGATTCAACTTTTCACGATTCCATTGTCAAAACAAAAGGGTCTCTTCATGAGGATGAAGTGAACTTGTGGTTATCTCAGTTATTTTCACCTCTTGGGGAATCTGTTAATCAATCTCATCATGCTTTCCCTCAAATCGGGGACTTCTCATATAAAACTCTTGAAAACAACATTCAAGAAAGAGCCGAGCCTTCAATGCCTGGAAATGATATTTCACCTTTCGGATTTTGTGCTGGGTATGAACTATACGAAGCATTAGGACCTTCCTTCCAAGGGCAAAGAAATGACTCTATTCGGGAGGCCAGAAAAACGGGTCCCCCCGACATGGCTGTTGATATTTCAGAGGGAATAAGCGGTAGTTGCAGTTTGCTAACAACAGGTAACTCCGATGGGAACCTTCTAGAAGCAGTGGTGGCCAGAGCAAGCAGTCAAAAAGGGTATCGAACAGAAAGCGAGAGGTCATGTCTTGAATCCCTCGTGACCTTTGACAGAACACCCTGCAATAGTTTGGGCACTATTGGCTCGTTTGAACGGGACACATCGTGTAGCTTGAACTCGGTTAAACCGAATAGAAAAAGGGCCAGGCCCGGTGAGAGTACTAGGCCAAGGCCAAGGGACAGGCAGTTGATCCAAGACCGGATAAAGGAACTGAGGGAACTCGTGCCCAGTGGATCTAAGGTTATGTCAGTCCAACTCTGTATAGTAATACGATTTTAATTTTATTTTTTTATTTTTTCCCACTTGAGTTTCTGCTGAAATTCTTGAAACAAACAGTGCAGTATAGATTCACTTCTTGAGCGGACTATTAAGCACATGATGTTTTTGCAAAGTGTAACGAAACATGCAGATAAACTGAACAAGTGCTCGGTGTCAAAGGTAAATGCTATTATGTTGTTCAGTCAATTGCCTGTTTAACTTAATGTTAACAAGAATTTATGATTTTTTTTTTATTTTTTTTTTCAGTTGCTTGCGAAGGAAACAGGCATCCGTAGATTCTCCTGTCGTGATCAGGGCTCAAGCTGGGCTGTCGAATTGGGAAACAGCCACAAGGTCTGCCCTATAATAGTGGAAAATATAAATATGAACGGGCAAATGCTTGTAGAGGTAACCAAAAACCAAATCGAAGGAAAGAATTAAAATCTCGATTTCTGCTAGTTGGTACCATACTCAAAATCGTTATATATCCCGCGCATTAAAAAATTACATATTCATCTCGTTTTTGCTTTATCTCCACAAATGTAGATGTTGAGCCAAGAGAGTGGTCAGTTTTTAGAAACTGCAGAGGCTCTCAGAAGCTTAGGCCTGAACATACTGAAAGGCGTGTCTGAAGAAGCCTATGGAGATCAGATATGGATGTACTTCATAGTCGAGGTGCAACTCAAACTAACTGTTAATAAAGATGTTCGTATAAATAAACTAAATGAATAATCGAGTTTACATTCATTAATTGGTATTGATTGGTGTTTTTTAGGGGGAGAATAACCGAAGCATGCACCGGATGGATGTGTTATGGTCTCTTATGCAGCTTTTGCAACCGAAATCCGCTAATTGATCTCTGTTCAGTGATCAGTATTTCGCATTGTGTGTGTTCATAGTAAGCTGTTTTTTTTTTTTTTTTTCCTTTTTCGTTTGGTTTCGATTTGGTTTATGCTGAGTTGTGTGTTGTTTGCAATGTTATCTATTTTTCCTGTGTGGGATACTGTAAATCTTGAATTGATATTCCTCTGTATTCAAATCTCTTACAGTGTTAGTGTTAAACTGTCAAGAGATTGATTCATTGTTTGTATTTACACTAAACATATGTTACATTATAGGTATGTCATTTGGGGAGATGCTACGGTCCCGTTACGGAACCATTCCGTCGGGTTTTGTAACCGTTAGATCTATCACGTACTCATCGGGGATAGGTGATCTAACTGTTACAATTCTCCACGGAATGGTCGTAACGGGACCGTAGCATTTCCCTGTCATTTGTCCCTCATCATTTTCACAGGAAAAAGTGTTATAGTAACAACATGAATGAAACAATTCAAGAATTTTATGATGCAAAAAAATAAAAAATAAAGAAGAAAGAAATGAGAAAAAATTAAACAAGTTGAGGATTTTATTTTTTTTTCCTGGTAATTAAAGAACGAACACAAATGATGGGAATTTCTTCTAACAGACTTCTTGTACTTCACAAAATTCACATGATTCTAAAATTGGACAGAGCTGACTGACCTTCACGTACGTTAGTCTGATGATGTGTCACAAATTCAATGTAGCTGACGTGTCTGTAAAGAGCAGGATTCTCTTCAGACAGAAGCTCTTTTATAGGCCCACACGCTTTTACCATCTCTTGAGAGCTTGGATAGAAAAAACACGCAGTCGAAACACGACTTCTACTCGAGCTAGCCACCACTCTATGCTCAACGCTTTTGAACTTGTCATTTGTAATCAGCTGAAAAAAAAATAAATCATTTCAGTTGCTATTTTTGGCTCGAAAAAGCACGATCGACTCGAAAAAGCACGATCGATATTCTTATGTAAGACGGTCTAACATAACCTGCAAAAGGTCTCCAATGTTGGCTATGAGAGCACCTGGAATCGAAGGAACGTCGATCCAATTCTCGTCGTGATGTATTTGGAGTCCACTGCAGTTGTCCTGAACCAATACCGTTAGTATCGTTGGGTCAAAGTGGTTGACAGTACCGCATGTCCTGTCCGGTTGGGGGCTTGCCGGATAATAAAGACACGAAAGATATTCGCTTTTCATGCACTCCATTCGGCTCAAGAAATCCGAGCTTAGCCCCAAAGCCTCCGAAAGTAGCTCGGACAAAACATCTCTTAACTCGATCATGTGTTTCATGTACTCACAAATTTCATTCCTGCAGCAGTGTTCAAGGTTTCGTAAGTTTTTTTCCTGCAAGATAAGATTCTTGCAAGATTCAAGCTTATTAATTAAGTACACCTGCAAATAGAAGGAATCGAGTCGGGATCCAAATAATCGTCCGTGAACGTGCAAGAAAACGCGTCCCTCCACCCGGCCACGGCCGGTTTCTTCAAGTTTCCGTTTATGGTGTAAAATCTCACGCTCTGCCTACCGTTAGACGAGTAGAGGCTCGTTTTCATCTCCTTCGGTTGCTCGTGAAATTTTCTTGTGGCGTCCAAAACGGCCTCCATTGCATTCGTGGGGACACCGTGGTTGACCATTTGGAAGAATCCCCAATCGCGGCAAGCCTCGCGAATTTCTTCGACGATCTCGAGCCTCCGGCGTTCCCCACACGGTCGCCCGTGATCAAAATCTATTATCGGGATTTTTGTGACTTGAAGCCCGGTTTTCTTGTTCTTCTTCTCAGTTCCTTCGGGCACAAGGAAGAATCTCGGGACCTTGGAGACTCCGGAATCGACGAGCCCCTTGACGCCGGCTTTCGTCTTTTCGAAAGCCTCGACTTCTTTCTCCCACTCGCGATCGGAATCTGTATCATCTTTTGCCATTTTCTTTTGGTTTCGGTTTTGTTCTTTTGTTTTTGCACAAGGGGGTGTTATTAGCTAGCTTGTGAAGAAAAGGAAGACACAGCTAATGCTTAATTAATAGGGAATTTTAGATCAAGCAAACATGTGGGGAGCAGGATTTTGTTTTTT